GACTAATGAAAGTCTACAAGGTTAGGATGAGAGGGGCTGGAATTCTGCTAAGACCTAGGTGTACTTACAGATAACCAGGCATATTGTTCTGTGCATCATGAGATGTATAACTTCCCCCCGGTTACTCCCACAGATAACATGACTACTGTAGAACCTAAGATTGATATGTTGGGGTATTTTTCAGGCTTTTGCATTCTGGCAACTGACTGACCCCCCACCCAAAGGCAGACTTGTGACTCATGATCCAACTGGTCCTGTGGCCCTGTGATCCAGAAGCGAACACAGTGCACAAGGACCATTTTCCATACCCCTAAGAGTGCATCTCATTGAATCAACAGCACCCGTTCCTTAGTCTCCTGCCCACCAAAGTATGCTTGAAGATCCCCTAACCTCCAAGCCTTCAGGGAGACTGATTTGAGTCTCCCGTGTGGCTGGTCTCACATCAATTATACTCTTTCCTCATTGCAATGCCACAGTCTCAGTGAATTGATCTTGCCTGTGCAGCAAGTAGGACAAACCCATCAGGCAATTACATTAGTTACATTTGAGGGGGACCAAAAAACTCTACGTGGATTTTTGGCTGCGCAGGGGGTTGGCACCCCTAGCCCCCACATTGTTCAAGGGTTAACCATACTGACATCTCTCTCAAAATCCAACTACCCATTCAGTAGGGTCTCCCCCTGCCTATGAAAGGGAATGGAGATTTTCCACCCATCATGGCAAAGGAAGGTGTGAAACAGGAGGGGAGAGACATCAGAACAGAGCAGGTGCTGTGCAGTCAGCACAGGAGACACTTTAGAGACAGGTCTTGTAACGTGGACACAAAAGAGGCATTGAAATAAGAGACCCCGTAATGGAAGTCATCTCAACTGACTCTGAATTACACTTCATTCTTGCTTGTTGAAAAGGAAAATCGTGTAAGTACTTACAGTAAATTAAGTTTGACATCTTCCTTCAGAAGAGAAGCGTCCTAATTTCCATCACATGCAGAGAGCAGCTGGATGCGCCGTCCTTGCTCCCTAATTACTGATTAACACAACAATGGTCTAATCATCCCTCCATATTTGAGGGATAATTTTGATTATTGCTTCTCCACACTTGAAGTGGGCTTCCTGGGGCCTTGTTTGGTACTTCACCCTCCAGTTAGGAGGACCCTGCTCCAGTCACAGTGGGGCAATCACTGTTAATGCCAGACGAGGAGTCTGTACTCAATGGCCAGAAAGCATTGTACAAGAGCTCCATGCTATCCAAACCTCGTGGGGTTATGTCCCTATTCTGCAGTTTAAAATGAAACACTCAAATGTAAATATGACCAGACTGAAGAAGGTTTTTGGAAATCACTGTTTGCCTTTCCCCAATTACACAGGTTGCCCTCGTGATCTGAGTGGCCAGATCAGTGAATGAATGAGGAATGAGCAGCTTAGCTTCAGCCGCAGGACTCCCAAGTAGTTCAGTAAGGAACAGCAGGGCAATCCTTAAGCCCGCCTATAAAATGTGGGTCGCATGAATACTACCATGACTATAGGGCTTTTGATAAGTCTGTACAGGTTAGGATGTCTCATATTCTGTTTGTAATGGCACTACAACAACTTTTAAATGACTGGGTGATTCTAACATAAGAGAAGACAAAGAACAGCATTTGCCCCTTCAAATTCAAAGGACAGAGCATTCATGTTGTGATAATAGTGGGTAGGATGTTTTTCTGTTAAGCCTGGGGCTCCTCGAGGTGGATCACACATTATCAGTGCATTTTCTCAGGCTGAAATGAAGTGATGATGTACTTGGAAGATTCGGCAGAGGAATGAGCATAAAATTACCTAACCCCAGCCCTGCCAGCATTATCTTGGGATCCATCTTTGACCCTCTGCAGCCTCAGAGAGATGGGTGTGATCCTAGGTGGACTTCGAGATAGCTCCACATAGTTCCAGACTTCTGTGATGTTTCAGCTTCATTGTGTAAACACAGGACCTCATTTGGGAATGCAGGCTCACGAGTACAGGCTGTTCCTCAGACTCCCTGCAGATCAAATGAGTGCCCTGCTTGGCATTTGCTTTCCATTTGCCACCCTTCTCACCTTCATCTCCCAGGCTGGTCCTGTTGATGTTAGTAACAATGTAGCAATTATGCAACAAGCACTGTACATACATTATTTCATCTAATCATCTGTTGTAATAATACTGTCCGTGTTATTTTCCCTGTTTTATAGATATAAAAACTAACTGAGAGAAAGAGGTTAATACATTGACAGAGGTTGCAGAGTAACAGTCAGAATTTGTACCCAAGTCCACTCATTGTCAAAACTCACATGACACAGAATACTATATTGCCTCCAAGTATGAGCAAAAGAAGTAACTCTCCTTGACTTTTCCCTACTTTGTAAAGCTGTTGGGAACAGGCCCCCCCGCAAAATCTGGCCAAAAACTGGCCCCAAAACTGGCCATGAACAAAATCTCTGCAGCACTGTGACATGTTCCTGATGGCCATGACGCCCACGCTGGAAGGTTGCGGGTTTACCGGAATGAGGGCAAGGAACACCTGGCCCGTCCAGGGCGGGTGGTGGGGGGAACCGCTTAAAGGCATTCTTTTTTTTTTTTTTTTTTTTTTTTGAGACGGAGTCTTGCTCTGTAGCCCGGGCTGGACTGCAGTGGCCGGATCTCAGCTCTCTGCAAGCTCCGCCTCCCGGGTTTACGCCATTCTCCTGCCTCAGCCTCCGGAGTAGCTGGGACTAAAGGCGCCCGCCACCTCGCCCGGCTAGTTTTTTGTATTTTTAGTAGAGACGGGGTTTCACCGTGTTAGCCAGGATGGTCTCGATCTCCTGACCTCGTGATCCGCCCATCTCGGCCTCCCAAAGTGCTGGGATTACAGGCTTGAGCCACCGCGCCCGGCCTAAAGGCATTCTTAAACCACAAACAATACATGAGCGATCTGTGCCTTAAGGATATGCTCCTGCTGCAGATAAGAAGCCAGAGTCCACCCCTTTATTTCGGCCCATCCCTGTGTTTCCCATAAGGAATACTTTTAGTTAATCTATAATCTATAGAAACAATGTTTATCACTGGCTTGCTGTCAATAAATATGTGGGTAAATCTCTGTTCGAGGCTCTCGGCTCTGAAGGCTGTGAGACCCCTGGTTTCCCACTCTACACCTCTATATTTCTGTGTGTGTGTCTTTAATTCCTCTAGCACCGCTGGGTTAGGGTCTCACTGACTGAGCTGGTCTCGGCATAAAGCAATATTAGTAAGTCTAGTCAGGAGACTGGCCTTTTAACTCCTGAGACATCTCGCATGAGTCAGATCCTCAGATTCTTTCTTATATGTGCAATCACATGATATTTACTTGAAGGAAAAATACTTAAGGGTTATGAGTTTGAGCTCATCATAAAAGAAATGAATTTATACCAGTGAGGTTTGGAAACTACATTTTCAAGGGGGTTAGCCCTAGGACATGGCCACTAATGAAAGCATATTCATTGATTCAGTCTTTACTCAGAGAACCTACATCCAAGGCATTCAGGATGCAGTGACAAATGAAACCGTCCTGGCCTTACGTGCTTCTAGTAGGTAAACTGAATAAGAAAGAGGTCATTACAATCCAACATGGCAAATCCTGTGAGTAAATGTGTGTAATAACCCAGTGGTGAGCACCTAAGCCAGGTAGAGGGTGTCAGGGAAGCCACATCTGTCTTTGAGGGCAGAGTCCAGCATTCCTGCAATGTCATTTTTCATCATGTGGTTAAAAGGGCCACCGATTTTCCCAGGAAGACACATGTTTATTTGTCCTCTGTGATTAGCTGAAGAGAACTAGAGATACCTAGGTACACATTCTCAGTGCTTTGACTACAATTTTCAGTCAACTGAGAAATATCAGTCTAAATACAATCAGGGGAACAACTTGGGAATATTGGTGGAAGACTGCAGAAGACAAATTTCCACACTCTCGCCTCTCCAGTGGGGAATGTATCCATTCGTCCCCAAATCTCTTAGAATTCCTCTACAATCTGGTCTGACACTCTAGCATAAAGAGTGACCAAAGTATATAAATCGTAGCTTATGTGGAAAACAAAAATGTAGAAAGCAAGCAAGAAACCCTGACATCTTTATGAAATATGCCTGAAACATAGCCAAATGATAAAATTTTCAAATAGCTGTAAGAGGCAGAACCAGTTTGAGGAATTCATGACCTAATCCACATATTCCCCAGATTCTGTGGGGAAGCACCGCAGGACAGTTATGGCAATGAAACGCTTTGGAATTTGTTGAAAAATGGCTGTGGTAGGATTCCCTCTAAGAACCAAGAAAGGGTTCAAAATCAACCTTTCTCAGGAAACAAGTTTAGATTTTTCTAGAGTTTCAAGACAGGCTCTAATTGTACAGAAACTTTTCTAGAATGGGTGGAGGAGGTGACAAGGCTTCTCAAGGGCCCCAACTCTCACCCAACAATGTTGACTGAGCACTCACTGCTTGGCCAAGCCCTGTGCCAGGAACTTGCCATAGAATCTCTCACTTAATCCTAAAACCACCACTGCCAGGAGATAGCATTCCCATTTTACAGATGAGAAAACCAAGATTCAGAGGGTTCATAGCGTACCCAGACCCCATAGCTCATAGAGGGCAGTTTCACACCCAAATATGCAAAATTGTAGAAGGAGGTCTTCTGAAGTCAATAAGCTCAACAAACTAGTGGAACAAATGCTACACTGAGCAACCCTGAGGAAGCTTGCTTGCTTTCTTTTCTGTTAGCTAAAAGTTACTACCTTTTTCTTGGGCTCTGAAGTCTGCCTGGATGGTGGTATTTAATGTGAGGCAGCTGCAGACTGTGCCCCAAAGCAAATGAGGCTAGAAGAATTACCCTTTCTAAAAGCATCCCACCTGAGTGTCACAAAGATGTGCAGCTGAAACCAAGCCTGCCTTCTGTACATAAAGGAACCTGGGCAGGCAGACCCCTGGCTCTGGGGAGAGAAGGCGGAGAGCCTGCGGCCGGTAGGACCTCCCGGTAGCATTATGCGGCTGCTGCAGTGTGTCTTGCTGTGTGTTTCATTATCTCTTGTTTTGAGTGGTCAGCATAAGCCTGAGGCACCAGGTTATTCCAGTGTGCTCCACTGTGGGCTGTGGAGCTTCCAGTTTGCTGTAAACCTCAGTCAGGAGGCAACTTCTCCTCCTGTACTAATAACTTGGGGTAAGTTTGATGACTTGCCTTGCTTACCCAAGCAATGATGTCTCCTCTACTACCTAAGACATCTCCCCTACCTTCCTGTCTTGATACTTTCCCTCTCTGAGCCTGTCGCATCTTTCTGCAAAAGAAATAGTCTAAGTTATAACTAGGTCTGATCTGAATCTGATTTCCCTCTTGTTCCTCTAATTGACAGTTGCTCCTTGGGGTTTAATGGCAAGGCTGACTGTCCTTTCTGGCACTGGAGACTGACTGCTGTCTTTTTACCTCTTCCCCACCCCTCCAGACAACCAAGGGCTGCCGCACAAGCTACAGAATGACTCTGACTGTGGCACCTGGATAAGAAAGGGTCCGGGCAGCTCCATGGTGTTGGAGGCAACCTATAGCAGCAGCTGCTATGTCACTGAGTGGGTGAGTATGACCCAGTGGCCAGGGACACTGAGTGAAGCCCCTCATGCTACCATCCGGGCTGACTCCCAAGGGCCTGTCTCTCCAGGACTCCTACTACATCATGCCAGTCGGAGTTGAAGGAGTGGGTGCGGCTGAACACAAGATGGTTCCAGAGAGGAAGCTGCTCAAGTGTCCTATGGATCTTCTAGGTAAAGGCTGGAAGCTCTCAGGATCTGGGAGGGGTGAAAGTGCTCTTGGTCCTCTCTGACAGGTTCTGTGCAGTGACACCTGACACTAACGAAGGATCATGTCCCAACTCTCACCTCCATGGGCAATCCTTAGAATAACTACCAATTGAGATTCCTCAATGCCGAGGCACTATGGGTGTAAGCACTTCAGGTGTTACCTTCCCTAATCCTAACCTAGTGCTGCAAACACTACTTCTGGCCAGGTGCAGTGGCTCATGCCTGTAATCACAGCACTGTACGAGGCTGAGGCAGGTGGATCACCTGAGGTCAGGAGTTCGAGTCCAGCCTGACCAACATGGAGAAATCGCGTCTCTGCTAAAAATACAAAATCAGCCAGGTATGGTGGTGCATGCCTGCAATCCCAGCTACTTGGGAGGCTGAGGCAGGAGAATTGCTTGAACCTGGGAGGCAGAGGTTGCGGTGAGCTGAGGTCGTGCCATTGTACTACAGCCTGGGCAACAAGAGTGAAACTGTGTTTCAAAAAAAAAAAAAAAACAACCACCCAACCTATCTCTTGCCAGGAAGTTTGCCCAAGGGCCTATCACTGGTGAGTGACTGAGCTGGGATTCAAAGAATTCCCAGAACCAGGAGTTTTTCACCCATAGGGAGAATGATAGGAAAGAAAACTGAAGCTAGCAAGGGAACTTGGAACAACACCTCCACGGAGATAGATGTGCACTGAGACTAGGACCCAGGTCTCCCATCCCACCAGCTGGAGGGGTATCTGAGGTATCTGATCATTTCCCTAAGGAAACAGTAGGAAGTATGATGCCTACTCAACTTCAGAAAGTCTCGCCTGACTGAGAGCCCATCCTCAAAGTCAGAACAGACTCAAACTTTCAATTCCCTCTTCTCACCTGCCTTCCTTCCCAGTACATAGCCAGGATCGGCAGCACTAATAAAATGAGGACTCACAGGTCCTACCCCAGTTCTGAACCAGACCTGAACTCAAAAACAATCTTCAGATAACTCATATCCAAACTAAGACTTGAGAAACGCCTCTATAGAACAGAAGGATTGTTACTTGAAGGAGTAAGCTCCCACTGCTTCTACGAATCTTGTTGGCATTCTTTTATTTTTTAAAAAAACTAATGTCAGGGCACTCTTACAAGGTGACTTAATGTTGACAACCTCCCAAGACTTAATCTACAGCATGTAACCGCTCAAGACTGTATCTACAATATGGAATAGATACACCTATTTCAATCATCTACACATCTACAGGAATCCAAAGTCAATGACTTGTATCAAAATGGTATCTAACTTTTCCATTACCTAACCTGACTTACTCTTTTTCAAAACCCAGCCCGAGATGCTCCAGATACTGACTGGTGTGACTCCATCCCAGCGCGGGACAGGCTGCCGTGTGCACCTTCACCCATCTCTCGAGGAGACTGTGAGGGGCTAGGCTGCTGTTACAGCTCTGAGGAGGTGAATTCCTGCTACTACGGAAACACCGGTGAGTAATTGAGCACACCTCTGAAACCAGCTGAGGAAGTGTGCCAATTACAGTGAAATCCGGAGAGGGGTTTGCTCAGAAAGCAAACGCACGTGATAGCAGGCTGCCATGTAGCCACGCGTCCAAGAACACCGGATCCCAAAGTAACAGACCTTTCTACAGCTTCCACTGTCCGTTCTCCCAGAATCCAGATATAAAGCCAATAACACTTAGACTTGAAGGCTATGTGCCAGATAATGGCTAGTGCCAGATACTGCTAATTGACAGAAACTTAACTTTTCTCCAAGGAATAGCGACTTTGGCTGATACTCTGGGATTGTTTAGGGAGCCTCACTTCAAGGCTGTTGCTTTCTGCATGTTTCAAATCCTGCTCTGAGGTTTTCTAACATAAATTCAACCTCAGAGTATTATGGGTTCGTGCAGAAATAATCACAGCCTTTGCCACAATGGCAAAAGCTGGGATTACTTCTGCACCAACCTAATACATTGCACACTCTATTCTAAGATCTTAATCTTAATTGACAAGCAAAATGAGGTAGGAGCTACTATCCCCCTCTTAAATAAAACTGAAGGAGGCACAATACCTTGCCTGAGGTCGCACAATAAGTTGGGGAGGTAAGACTCAACCCCAGGAGCTCATTTAGAGCCCGGGTTAAACTGGGTGGCTGATCTTGCACTGAGGCCATCAGCCGGGAACACCCAGCTTCTCAGTGGGATTAAAAGTAAGTGGTTAGACTTTCATCTGGTTCTCCCCTTAATGGGAGAGATGACCTGCCTTCAGCATAGCTGCTCTGTTTCAGTGACCTTGCATTGTACCCGAGAGGGCCATTTCTCTATCGCTGTGTCTCGGAACGTGGCCTCACCACCACTGCTCTTGGATTCTGTGCGCTTGGCCCTTAGGAATGACAGTGCGTGTAACCCTGTGATGGCAACACAAGCTTTTGTTCTGTTCCAGTTTCCATTTACTTCCTGTGGCACCACAAGACAGGTGAGCAGTTGGGCTTTGTTTCTGGCTCTGGAAGTCGGGTGGGAACGTCATAGTGACTAGTGGGGGAGGGCTGAAATACGCTGGCCATGAAGGATACTTGTGACTACTGCTTAGTTTGGGAGAGTCTCTAGGGCAGGAGAACACCTCATCACTGAAAAAGTTAATCTCTTCTGGGTGTTCAGCTAAGAGCATCACAGCTGTGATCTAGCTAAGAGGCTGTCATTTACCAAGCCATAGAGAAGAAACCAGCAGGGATGCTGACTGGAATTGGTAGTGCTTCAGCTGCCTCTTCTAGGTACTCAAATTCCCCTTCCAATTCCTTTGTCCTGAAATAAGGCAAAGTGATAACTTGCCAGGATGTCACTGCTATGTGTTCTCCCCTCTGCTGAAGGAATAGGAAATGTAACATACGACAGGGTAGCATTGCTGAGGACTTAGACCAGATGCGAGTCAAGCAGCGTAACACTAACAGAAATGATCAAGATTTCTCCATCTGTTCCTGTAGATCACTGGAGACCGAGCAGTATATGAAAATGAACTGGTAGCAACTAGGGATGTGAAAAATGGGAGCCACGGCTCTGTCACTCGTGACAGCATCTTCAGGTAAGGGCTTGCGTAACCTGACCCTGCTTGACCAGAATGACTTCCCCTCTTCCATAAAGTGGGCATTCTCGGGTAAGCCCTGAATCCACAAATGAGCACTCCTTGGTACTAGGAGAACCTGTCTGCTACCTTGGTTCACCAATCTCACTGCCTATTACTTAAGTCCATCTGTATTGCTGTCTCCAACCTGACCTAAGTCTCAAGCTCACCTGGAGTTCTGCTATTTCACTTAACGATTTTTTTCTCATTTTGGCCTTCTCCATTCTACATTTTAGCCTACATTTCTCCATTTTACATCTTGGCCTTCTCCATTGTCCATGCTGTAGCCAAAAGAATTCCTCTAAAACCTTAGGTCTATCATATCACACACCTTAAAGCCATGGAAAAAAACAAAGCTTTAAGATGAACATCGGGACCCTGCATAAAACAGCTCCTACTTCATCTCCAGCCTGTTCACTCTGAACATTCTCAGCCCCTCACTCCCTGTTCCCGATTGCAGCCTGGTTCTTCTATGGAACTCTCAAAGGGCCTCAAGCACTTTCTTGCCTCAAGACTTTGCTCTATATTGGGTGAGGGTCTCCATCTACTTCAAGTTGATTTTCTTTCACCTTCATATCAAGGTACCTCTAAGGTCTTCCCTGATCTCCTCTACAGTAGGTCTGTTTCTCATGATGCATCTTTATTTGTGTGCTTATCTCCAATTCAAACATTGGTCCTACTTGCATATTGGTCTCCCCAGCTAAAATACAGCTCCCAGCAGGATGGGAACCACATCCATCATACTTATACACTTGCCTAGCACTTAATGTTTTCCTTGAGTTAAAAAGAAAGGATGTGTATAACTGACACCTGCCTCTCCCACAACCAACTAGTCAAAATCTTGTTTCTCTGCAGGCTCCATGTCAGCTGCAGCTACTCAGTAAGTAGCAACTCTCTCCCAATCAAGGCCCAGGTTTTTACTCTCCCACCACCCTTTCCTGAGACCCAGCCTGGATCCCTCACTCTGGAACTTCAGATTGCCAAAGGTATGACCCCCTTGGCTGGAGTATCTGGCCTATAGTCTAAATCCAGTCTTCTGGGGCATGAAGACCCTAACTTAATAACAAGACACTTAAGCGGCTTGGGGCTATTTAAGGGGGTGACAGTCCCTCAAGTCACTGAGAGGTTACTACTTTAAATCCTTATTTCTGCCTCTTGCAGATAAAAACTATGGCTCCTACTATGGTGTTGGTGACTACCCCGTGGTGAAATTGCTTCGGGATCCCATCTATGTGGAGGTCTCCATCCTTCACAGAACAGACCCCTCCCTGGGGCTGCTCCTACATCAGTGTTGGGCAACACCCAGCACAGACCCCCTGAGTCAGCCACAGTGGCCCATCCTGGTAAAGGGGTAAGTGGTTCTTTCATGTACCGGTGCTGAGACTCTCAAGCCCATTCTGACTGCCAGGTCTCTTGGTCTAGCTGCCCCTACATTGGAGACAACTATCAGACTCAGCTGATCCCTGTCCAGAAAGCCTTGGATCTTCCATTTCCCTCTCACTACCAGCGCTTCAGCATCTTCACCTTCAGCTTTGTGGACCCTACAGCTGAGAAACAGGCCCTCAGGGGACCGGTAGGATGTTCCCTTCCATGACCCTCACCAGGGCTCTGAACCTCCCCAACTTACAACTGTTTCCATGTCCTATTACTCTGCAGCCAAGGAAGCCCTTTAATGCTGGCTGTTGGTACTCAGAGCAACCCTTGTTACCAATCACATGAGTGGCATCTGTCAATTGGACTCCAGTTCCTTAGTGCTGTTGTGATATCAACTTGGACCATATCAATTTTCTGATAACTTCCTGAACCTCTTCCTGGGGAGACAAAGTAGGTTTAGAGACACGTAGCATGGTGATACTACAAATGATCTGAATTCTGTTGGCTCCCAGGTGCATCTGCACTGCAGCGTGTCAGTCTGCCAGCCTGCTGAGACACCATCCTGTGCGGTAACCTGTCCTGATCTCAGTCGTGAGTATCGAAGCTGATTGTATGTTAGAGGACAGACTTGAATGAATCTTGAGTCCCATGTCTAACCTTTCCTAGTCTCTGGCTAAACAACTCAAAGTGAAGATTCATCTTACTAAGGCTTCTCTAATTACTTGCAGTGCCACAGAACAAAGGTGACTAGCTTCCCAGAATCCCATGTCTAAGATAAGCTATAAATGTTCGGGTAACCCTCAACCTTAGCTTTTTCCATATGAACTTGAATTCATGCACAAACCAAGGCAGTTTATGGCCATCTTATGTCTCATTTTAACAAGATACACCTGGATAGTAAACATGTCTAAACCTGCTTGACAGGTCTGGCAATGCAACCTAAAGATCTATAAGTAGAATGAGTGGACCTAGAATGTGGTCTCTAGTTGGTTGGGGCCAATGCTTCTAAGTCAATGTGTCTGTATGTCTACCTGATTCTACCTTTACTTGTCTAGCCTCTGAGTTGGCATTCATGACCTCTGAAGCTTTAAGTCCCTTCTAGCAAAACTCATAGTAACTAAATGGTGCTTCTTATGCAAAGTACAACATTAAATACTTTAACATCTCCAAAAATGCATATTATCCCTACTTCTAAAGAAGGAACCACCTTAGATTAAGGTCCTACAACTGGCAAAAGAAGTAGAATTAAAACAGTTCTACACTGTTTCTTTTTTGAGATCAGTTCTTGCTCTGTCATGCAGGCTGGAGTGCAATGGCGTGAGTATAGTTCATGGTAGCCTCAACCTCCTGAGCTCAAGTGATCCGCCTAGTTCAGCCTCCCAAGTAACTAGGACTTATAGGCATATTCCACTATACCCGAGTTTTTCTTTTTTTTTTTTTTTTTTTTTTTGAGAGGGAGTTTTTCTTTTTTGCCCAGGCTTGAGTACAATGGTGAGATCTTGGCTTGCTTGCAATCTCCGCCTCCCGGGTTCACATGATTTTCCTGCCTCAGCCTCCTGAGTAGCTGGGATTATAGGCATGTGCCACAAAGTCCAGCTAATTTTGTATTAGTAGAGACAGGGTTTCACCATGTTGGTCAGGCTGGTCTTGAACTCCTGACTTCAGGTGATCCACCCATCTCGGCCTCCCAGTGTTGGGATTACAGTTGTGAGACACCACACCCGGCCTTTTTTTTTTTTTTTAAAATAGAGATGGATCTTGCTATGTTGCTTGGGCTGCTCTCAAACTCCAGAAATATTTTTCCTCCTCACAGTCCACCTGCATATCTGTTTCCCATTCTTCCACTTGCCATCTTTCTTAATACAACATAGAATACAGAAAACATAAAACTATTTATATTTCAAGTGAATCAAATTGTTTTTTCATTTGAAAACCAGAACTAAACTCATTAAATTTCTCTGCACCTCAGCCTCCAAGTTCTGTTCTACTAGTTACCTTTGAATCACAGGGAAAGATCTCTGAATTATAAACATGTTACTGTCAAAGGACTCTGTTTAGAAAAGCATGGCAGTTCAGGGATAGTTTCTAACATCTTTATAGCAAAGTCCTGGTGAAACTAAGGTAATGGCATCAGATATAAAATCTCAATTGTTCAAGTATGTATTAATACACTTAATGAGGTTTTTTTAAGGCATAGAACCAAGCTTTATAGAGACTTGGCCTTGTACCAAAACATTTTCTATCCCTGCTCTATGGGTGCAAAAACTAATGAATTACTAGGTCTCATTTCTCTAACAGGAAGAAATTCAGGCACCATTTTTCAGAACACTACTGCTAGTGTTTCTAGCAAAGGCCCCATGATTCTACTCCAAGCCACTAAGGACCCTCCAGAAAAGCTCCGTAAGTATCCAAGAGGAGGAGATCTAACTAGTGAACCAAACTACCAGTCAAACCAAATTCTTCCTTTCTACCCCTTGTGTTCTAGTCAAAAGAAATTGACCTTCCTATAGCAGAAGACTGCTAGTCTTTGTCAGGACACCGAATCATTTGGTTTTAGTATACATTAATCTACCTTTCCATCCTCCAGGTGCTCCTGTAGACTCAAAAGTTCTGTGGGTGGCAGGCCTTTCTGGGACCTTAATCCTTGGAGGCTTGTTAGTATCCTACTTGGCTATCAAGAGACAGCTGAATTGTCCAGACCAAACATGTCAATAAAACCAGACTGTACTCCCAGCCTGTGCTGAGCTTCTCATTTGAAAGGTAAAAGGTTACTTTCAGTCTAGTTCATCTCTTCATGTCATTTTATCTCTTAAGCTTGGCAGTATAACTCAACTGAGAATAGAATAAAAACTGATACAAAAATTTCAGGCTTAGCAGAGGTCTTAGGTCAGAACACAGAATAAAATTCTTCCATAAGATCAATGAAACTAGGGTAAAACTAATTATGAATCTAGATAGCTGGTTCTCAAACTTGAGTGCCTCAGGATCATGGGAGGGCTGGTAGAAACAGATGACTGGTCCCATTCTCAGAGTTGGATTCAGTAAGTCTGGACAAAGGCTTAAACTCACATTTCTAACCATTTCCTAGATGATGCTGATCTTCCCTGGTCTGAGCACCAGACTTAAACCAATGTCTAGAACAGTGACTAAAGGTATCTGATTATCGATTGGCCAACTGGAGGTGCCTTGATCATCAGAGACTTAGTTTTGAGCCAAACTGACAAGTTAGTTTCCTAGTCTTAAGAACTAAGACTTAAAAAAAAAAAAAGGGGGGGGGGGTGGTAGGGATATCATCACTGACTTCTCAAGGCAAATGTCCTGTTTAAGGAACTTTCTTGTAACTGATGCTGCTGGTCAGCCATACTCTGCGGTACTCCCTATTCTCACTGAAGTTCTGAAACTAATCCTGGTTCTATCAACTTCACCTACTTATTTTTCAGGGAATAACTTTTAAATTGACCTTTCAGCAAGCTAAAGGTGTTATACTCCTGAACAGCTGCTTTGTAATCAAGCCAACCCTACTTCAAATTGCTAATCTGGATGTAAACCCTGACCTTACAGGGATACATGGTTTTCATGCAACAAACTACCCTAGAAGCTTGATGTTAACATACTTGAGCCTCATGAAAATATCATAGTATTCATTCATCCCCCGTGTCTAGAATCTGGGACAGATCCAAGTCAAATAACTTGCCCAGGGCCACTTGAGCAACAAAAGATAGACTCCAGTTCAAGTTCTAGCACTAACTTTGTACCCTTAACTCCCTATGGTACTGAAAACTCAGTTCCTCAGAAAGACTAGTTGCCAGTGGTAGGCACCGGTACAGCTTGACAAAGGGTTGTCTTAGGCTTATGGAATGATAATGATTTGGGGAGACAATGGCTATGTTACATGCAAAGGTCTGTCTGTTGACCTGTGCTGAAGTCAGACATTTAGAGAAGAGTAGTCGCTGACTGCAGTGGGGTAGTGTTTGGTGACTAGGTTAAACAACTCAAGTACAAATATAACTTGGTAATCAGATGAAACAATATTGAATATTATAACATATTCCAGGTTTTACTTTCCTATTCAATCTCTGAATATACTCACAACAAATGTTAAATGTTAAACATTAATTGGAAAGACTATATACTTCTAGATATTAGATTGTTGGGAAAACTTATATAGCCAACTATTTTCCAATAGCTGAATAGAACCTGTTTTAAACTAAAATTCTAACCAAACTTCAAGTGCTCAACAGCTGCTGCTGGCAGGGAGCTATTCTAACTAGTTGCTGTATGACTCAAGTCTACTCAATTAAAATGTATATTGGCTATATAAGCAGCATAGTAGGCATTGGCAATGAACAGGAAGGCTTCCTCAGCAACTCTGACAAATGTCAGATGATTCAAAGAAACAAAGTTGGGTAAATGGGAGAAGGGAATTGCTAAGTCTCATCTTTTTCTATGAGGAAATAGATATGGGCATAAGATTTTAGCCTATCCCTCTAAAACAAAGCCAGTGTATAGAGTTCTCTAAATGCAACTGACCTGACAAGCCAGGAATCTGAGTTTCCAAAAGAGGAAAAAGCTTTAACACAGAACCTGGCATATAGGTCACTTGCCCCTGTAAGAGGAGGGTGGTGGCCCAGATGCGGTGGCTCAAGCCTGTAATTCCAGCACTTGGGGAGTCCGAGATGGGCGGATCACGAGGTCAGGAGATCAAGACCATTCTTGCTAACACAGTGAAACCCTGTCTACTAAATACAAACTAGCCAGGTGAGGTGGCAGGTGCCTGTAGTCCCTACTACTCTGGAGGCTGAGGCAGGAAAACAGCGTAAACCCGGGAGGCAGAGCTTGCAGCGAGCTGAGATCAGGACACTGCACTCCAGCCTGGGCAACAGCAAGACTATCTCAAAAAAAAAAAAAGTAACACGTGTACTAACCGATGGATACTGCATTTAAAGAAAACCCTGGTACTTAAGCCTCTACTGAGGACTTGCCAGATTCTCTAGCAGGGTTTCTGGGACTATTTATATTAACATGGTATGCCTTCAAAGGGAGCAAAATCTATTTCCCTTATTTTACCATGAAACCTTTTTCAGAATGTGTAATTCCACAGAGCGTATTTCTGCAGATACAGTGTTACTGGTTTTCTAACAATCTTAGAAGTTAGTCTGATCAGAGAAAGTGTTGCAAGGAAAGACTTAAAAGGTCTCTGAATAGTCTCTGGCCAAAATCTAGCTTGAAGTTGAGTTACTTGAGAAGTCAGTTCGAACCATCAGCTTATAGTTTAATATAGCCTCGTAGCTAAACCAGAAACTTGATTATTCCCCTCAGAGGCCCCATTAAACCTCAAGTTTGGGGGCATCTATCCAATTTTAAATAGCTTCTATCAAGTAACTTATGAGACTGCTACCCCAAACTTATTCACTGTCCTCCAAATGGGTTTAACTTTAGTTAACTCATTTCTAGTTAAACCGCTAGTTCTTTCCCTTCCAACTAAAGAATTGTTCTGATCAATCCAGAATAATGTAATTCATCCCTGTAACTTTTTTTCCTAGAGAAAAAATAACTATTCCTTGTGTGGCTCTTGCTAACTGATCTTGTAGATAAGTATTCTACACATAAGCAACATGGCAACACAGCTTCCTATTCTAATATGGTGGGGTAGCTTTCCACTGCAGTTGTCAGCCTCAGCTTCCCCTGGCGTGTCTTGCCTGCATACTGTGTAACAGTTCTAGCTACCCTGAATTCCTTGAGGGTTGGTACCCATTTTTGGAAACAAATTCTTCCATTAGTTTAGTGTCAGCTCCTTGTCATGCTTGTCTGTGAAGCTCTGAAAGGGAGCCATATGTCTGTCTCCTCTTATCTCTCTAGTTTGACACTTGAGTCCATAATAGCAGATCCTATTAGGTCAGTTTCCCTCCCCTGTGTTAGCCAGGGTATTCCTGTTCATGTCTGTCTCACAAGAAAGCTTTACCAAGTCAATGAAGAGACAGGCTGTAGAATGAGAAACATCTGCAAGCCATACATCTGATAAGGGGTTAATGTCTAAAATGTAACTCAATAAGGAACCCAAACAAAAATGGGTAAAGGACATGAGTAGGCATCTCAAGGGAAATACAAATGACCAACAGATTAGTGATGCTAAGCATTCTCACTTACTAGGGAAGTGCAAATTAAAACCAATGAGATCACCTCCTGCCCATCAGAATGGCTGTTATCAAAAAGGAAAGTGTTGGTGAGGATGTAGAGAAAAGGGAACCCTTGAACCCTGTAGGTGGGAATGTAAATTAGTATAGCCATCACAGAAAATGTTATGGAGGTTCTTCAAAAAAAATAGAACTACCCCCATGAGCCAGCAATCCCACTAGTGTGTATGTATCCAAAGGAAGTGAAATTGGTAGGTTGATGAGATATCTACACTCCCATAGTCATAGCACTATTGACAATAGCTACTAAATCAAAGTTTCCATCAATGGATAGATGAAGAAAGTGGTATATGTATACAATGAACTACATTGAGTCTTAAAGGAAATCTTGTCATTTGTGACATGAACTTAGAGGAAAAGTTTAAAATAAACCAGTCATAGAAAAAGTATATTATCTCACTTAAACACATAATCTTGAATTTATAGAAGCAGAGAGTAGAATGGTAGTTACTTGTGTGCAGAGGGTGAGATGGAAAGATGTTTCTCAAAGGCTAGAAACTCTCAGGAATAAGTTCAAGGGATCTTTTGTATACCGTGGTGACTACAAATTGGGTTCTCATAAAATAAGTGAGGTAATTCATGTTAGTATGATTCAGCCATCCACCAATGTATACACATCTCAATGTGTTATATATAACAGTGTTAAGGCCAATTAAATTCTATAGCACATAAACAAGATTGAGAGAAGTTGAAGGTCTGCTGGTCACCAACAACTTAGGAATTGAATTCTTGAAGCCTTAAGATTCTTTTCGTCACTTTCCAGGGAAATATTTATCTTGGCTTACCTTGGAAGTCTAACCTGAGAGAACTAAGGAAGCTGGCAGGTGACTGGAAACAGCATCTTGGCTTTAGCCCCCACGTATTGAAACATTTTATTGGAGCCTTATTTTGGACAAAGTTCCCTTTTGTATTAGGAAATGAAGTCAGTACTCTAGTCCAACAACCAACATGGAACTTGTTTACGTGGTCTGGTAACAAGAATAATGGTAGGAAACCAGAAGTTGAAGCTGGTGTTATAGCAGTTATTTGGAAAGAAGCCTATTCAAACAATGTCATGTTCCCTGCCACTCCAATTTTCACCCAGAATATTCAGACCAGAAGAGCCGGATACTGTTGGCAGAGATGTACTCTCTGAACTCAACTTTCTCACCTCTGAAATAGAAAACTATCAATTGTTCCTAGCTATCTGGCTCTAAATTTTTGGTTCTTAGAACATTCTTAATCCCGTTCAGTTATTTTCCATGGGTCTTGATTTCCAGCTGTCCCTTGGAAACTCTACTCCCATGATTTCTAGTTCAGTTTTCATGCGGTGAATGGACAATATGCTTTTGTGTCTTATGCCACAGCACATTTCTGCCTTCTAAGGGCTAAATGTCAGCTACTGTTTATTAAAGATTTGATTAAGCCTTACTGCAACATCTGCAGGCCAGAGGGAGCAGAGATTGGATAGCTGTGCCACTTAATTGCCTCTTTCTACTTTTTCCAAGAAGTACTGCTTTTTAACCGTTGCTAATGTGAAAG